GCTACAGGTACGACATCTAGTGTAGTTCATATGGGTTATATATGCAAGACTGCTTAAATAGACAACCAAAAGTTGTATATATAGCTAGTATATATCCTCATTAATGTAACAAAGTCAAGAGTAGCCCATATGGTTGCCCTGACATTTGATCCAAAGTTTAATAAAACGTGCCAGACCCCAAAGTGGTTACCTTAACATTAAAAAAAATAAAATAAAAAAATAAAAAATAAAAAATAAAATTAGAAAGGAAATAAAGAAGATGTAAGTTCAACAAAAAGTAAAGCTGCTCAAAAAAAAACTTTTTCTGCTAATTCTTTAAATACAAATTCAATATAAACAAAAAATTAACAAAACATAAATTTTGCTAAAGGAAACACAGTCTGCAGTATTAAGTAAAGAAAAAGAACTCACAAAATAATACCTAGTCTTTTAAGAGACGAAGGTAAAAATGTTAAAGCTTTAGACAAAAAAGAAGAAAAACAGCAAAAAACCAACAAAATTTCATCCTTTGCAAACAATTTTTTGAAAATTGCACTTGACTCTGTACTGCAGATCTGTTATTATTACACAAGTAGAATACATGATTAGAAGTAAACAAAACAATCTAATTATAGATTATGTAACAGATATAAACAAAGAAACAGCATTTAGAAAGTCAGGTACTGAAGAAAAAGAAGATTCTAGAAAACAAAACAAAACTATGAAGATATTAAATAAATTGATTGAAGATTATTTAGAAGAACTAGAACTTTATAAAGACTGGATAGTCAATCTTAGAAAAAAAAGAGAAAAGCAACAAGCACTTTAAAGGAAAATATAGAGGAGAGGTTAATACAACAACTTGAACAAGAGAATTTATTCTTTTTACTACAAATTAATAAAAAGATGATGAGAAGAATTTAGAAAATTCAACAAATATAGAAATATTTGAATTGCAGATAGAAGATTATATGAAGAAGTCAGAGCAAGATAAAGTATAGATTCAAACTCGTAAACAAAAAAGTTTAGAGCAAAGATCACAACAAAGAAAGAAAAGAATAGAAGATTCCTTTTAACAAATTGAAGAAGTTTATATATATATTATAGAACAAAACCAGGAAAAGAAAGAAAACATTGAAGTGATAATTCCTTTTTTTTTTTTTTTTTTAATGTTAAGGTGACCATTTTGGAGTCTGGCACGTTTTATTAAACTTTGGATCGAAAGCCAGGGCAACTACAGGGCTACCCCTGACTTTGTTACATTAACGAGAATATATACTAGCTATATATACACTTTTGGTTGTCTATTTAAGCAGTCTTGCATATGTAACCCATATGAACTACACTAGATGTCATATCTGTAACCCACTATTACTTGAGTTACCCAATTAAACCCTCTGATCAACTTAGTGCCGTCGGGATATTCTTCTCAAAGAGGAACTGCCGCTAAGGCCCCTTAGGACTACTTTATCCTTGTAGTAAACCTACTAGAGCGGTCCATGTCCCACACATGTATCACCTAAATTTTTGGTAACTTACACCTAGGCTGCAGCCAAGTACTTGCGGCTATTAACCTCCGCTACCATTACCTACTCTGTGCCTTTGCAAAGTTCATCCAAACCCCAGTACCTACTTTATGGACTATCAACAGTACTTTGATGCCAACCGTTGGTGCCCCAAACTTTCAATCCAGATGGCTCAGAAGGGACCAGTGGGCGTCCCCTGGTATTCTGAATGAATCCTTTTTCCTCCAGCTGGTTCGGCGGCCTGGTTGGTGTAGTGCTTGCCAAACACTCGGTCTCATTCAGTTTGCCTAGGTGTCCGGTTCCCCAGATGATAATTCTTTACGTAGCGCTGTCGAAGATCTGTGCTACCTCTCTACTCAGGACTTTCCAAGCGGGCTTTCGTATCTCCTAATCACTTGAATTTATTTGGCTGCTTCACTTGGGTTTCGTGTAATTCATGCGTCACACTACGTTCTACAACCTCTCAATGCGAGTTGGTAAGACCAAAGTCACAGATGCTTACCTGATCGATATGTCATACAGTTTTATCATAACGCATTTCCGCAAATTCGAATTTGTCGTCAGTGGGATTCGAACTCTTGTCCTGCTGCTTGGGAGTGCAACAACTTACCAACTACACTAAGTCACCACACCCATTGAAGTGATAATTTCTAAAGAAGACAGGAAAAGAAAAACAATAGAAATAAAGTGAAGAATTCTAAAAACAAGAAATAAACTTTATTGAATGATTACTTAAAAGAATATATAAAGGAATTAAATTAATACAAGAAGTGGATCTTAGATCTTAGAAAGAAAAGAGTGAAATAAGAAGAACTCTAAAAAAGAAAAAGAAGAAAGAAGCTTGATTTTCTTTTTGAAGAACTAACAATAGATTACTGTCAACTTCAAGATATATTAGAGGAGAAAATTACAGATAATAAAGAAAAAAAGATTAATCAAATAGAAGACAAATTAAAGATATCATGAAAGAAATTACAAGTAGAGATTTTAAAGAATTCAAGAAAATTACTAGTTTAAGCAAGAAGAAATAAGAAGACTAGGACAAATTAGAAGAACAGAAAGAAAAAAATAAAGAAGAAAACTCTAATACAGAGTAAAGAATCAATAGCAATGAATGAAGAAAATAAAGGAGAAGGAGAGAAAAGGATAAAAGGATTAAGAGTCAAGTTATCTGCAAAAAAATATAAAATAAACCAGAGGAAAAAAAAGAAAGAATATTAGTTTAGAAATAAATAGTATAGTATTTTTATGAAAGAAAAGTATTTTAGATAGCCAAATAGAAATAGTATTAGATAGAATAGAATTACTTAATAGTATAGCAGAAGAATTTTCAGATAAACTTGACTCATTAAACTTAAACTGAGATCTTTTTGAAGTCTTGAAAGTTTCTGAGACAACTTAGTAATAGCTTTCTAGATCAGAGACTTAAAACTCTACCTAGTGCAACAAACTGCTTTTAAGCATCTATAGAGACAGTCAAGAGATGTTAGGCTTAGATATTAAGCTTAACATTATATAATCTACTTATATAATATTCTTAATAAAGGATCACTGACAAGGTTGCCAAAGATTAAAAATAACAAACAAAAAAAAGCAAAGCTGCTAGAACAAAACATAAAGAAGCTAAAGAAAAAAAAGAAATATTGAAAAAAAGAAACATAGGAAGAGATATTGAAGACCTTATAGAGAAAGAAACTTTAAACAAACTAACTGAAGAATCAAGACCAAGAATTCTGGCATTAACCTTAATAAAAGAAGAAAACTCTGTCAAGATACAAATCAAAAACTTACAAAGGAAAATACTAAGGTAGATAGCAGAGTTTATATATCAAGTAAACTTAGAAAAGTAGACAAGATAATATTAAAGATTAGAAAAAGAAGAAAAAAGAAATCTTGGAGTAAACAAATTAGATCATTAACAAACACTAGTGTTATAGAACAGTTTTATTTTATTAGTTATTATTTTATCTTAGTATTATTTTATTATTTTGATATTTGTATTTTATTAGTTATTAGTTATTATTATATTTATCTTAGAGAAGAATTTAAAAAACATGTATAATGATTAGCCTTAACGCTTAATACTTAGCAATTTACAATTAGCAATTAGTGATTACGCTTAGCGTTTAACGATTAGCGATTAGCAATTACGCTTAGTGATTAATGATTAGCGATTACACTTAACGATTAGCGATTAACGCTTAACGCTTAACGATTAGCGATTACAATTAGCGCTTAGCACTAAGTAAACTACGCATAGCTGCAATGATTAGCGATTAGCTCTAAAGATATAAAAAGGCTGTAAATTTCCCCAAGTTAACATTAGACCTGAAATAACAACAGACTTGTTATTGTCTACCCCACTTCCCTCTTCCCTAAATTCTCTCTTATAATATTATAGAATTCTTTAGGAATAGAAACCTAAGGATAGCCTATCTTATTTATTTTTAATAAACATATATTTTATCTATAAACTATTGTCTGTCTGAACTGCTACAGACAGAAGGGTATAGTTTCTCCAAAAAGCAGAAATTATACTTACCTGTTGGATACTACTATAAACCTGTGAAGGATCTCTGTAGCCATATCATTGTTATAGTACTGCTGTTAAGAAGGCCATGATATTGTAACATTTGGTGCCTCCTGACAGAAAACATTTTAAAACTATTACTGGACAACATTATCCCGGCCCCTCTTAATTAATAGCTGTTTACCGGAGGATAGTTATCTCAGATTGAATTTGAGTATTGTGGACAACAACCCCCTTTGGTTTATTTAGCTGGTGCCTAGACGATATTATCCTAGAACATTGACGGATTCCTCACAAGCCAAAGTGTAGGCATAAAGATTCAACCTTGAAAACAATTGAAGGATTTTCCACAAGCCAAAGTGTAGGTGTAAGGATCCAACCCCAAGAAACATTATTATTATTATCTTTTCTATTTTTGTCTACAGATATAGGCTTTGGACTTTACTCTATGACTAATAAAGTTACTCAACTACACAACGAATATATTGAAAACTACAAACACGAACATACCCAAAACCCTGCTCTTTCTTATACAACTCTACAAATCTTAAACCCGGATCTCTCTTGTCAAGCTTGCTTCCCACCACCAAGAACCAATCCTCACACTTTCCATCGAAGAGATTTTGGAATTGGTATTCCAACACCTATTCTGCTTATTCTTATACCTCTCAAACTACTGCAAATTTTGGACATTTAATTGTAACCCAAGACTGACCCTCTATTCGCACCTCTATCTGAGATATTATTTTCAGTTGCCAATACAACCAAGATATTGGAAACTCTAGAGAAATTGCTTTTGCATTACTTACCAAATATACTCACCTCATTGCTTTACCTATTATTGACTTTGAATACCAAAATGTTTTTAACTACTACATTGATATAGCTTATAGTTTTGGATACGAGAAACCAGGACAATACAAAAGATATTTTAGAAACCTAGAACCTTCTATACAATATCAACTAGACAAAGATTATAGTTTCAGCTATTGAGACTAGCGAGTTATCCTAAGGACCCCATCTTTTCCTAGTTTATCTTCTTACCAAGATGAAACAGATAACCTTACTATCAACCTCTCCAATGTTCTCCTCGAGATACATTTGAAGTACCCCGAAGACAGTTTATCGAAATAGACCTTGTCCCTCTCTCAGAAGCACAGATAGAAGAATATACTTTAGAAAGAGAAGAAGTACTACCTCCAAAGAGTTCAGATCAAGAAAATAATTCTGATTCTGATAGTACTGTTCAAGAAATCTTTACCCCAACTGAAACCTTTGAACTACCAGAAAATCATCAAGAACAACCTGACAATAATCTACCACCACTCGAAGCAAATCTACTACCTCCAGAACAATCCGAAGTTAACTTACCACCACCACCACCTGTAACACCTCCACCAGTAGTACTACCCATAAACATGGTTAACGCTATCCTCAATAATGCTGCTTAAGCTATGACTGACCTGGCTAATGCTTTTGCGCCAGGCAGCGAAAAGTCACTTCTCAAAGTTGATTTCTTTACTGATGATGAAAAACAAGACCCTGTAGAATAGTTAGAAGAATTTGAATGAGCTGCTATTGCTAATAACTGGAGTACTGCTCGACAACTTGCTCTTGCCCCAGCCTATAAGAAAGAAATTGCTGCAGGATAGTTCCAAAGTTTAGCTCCTGCCCCCAATGCTTTTAAAAATGACCATACTGTAGATCAAAGCTTCTATTATCTCTTCAAAACTAAGTTCAGTTTCATCAACTAAAAGATCAAGTGGCAAAAAC